GAGGCAGGGGTGGGAGGGACAGGGTTGTTTTGGGGTCTGGAACGGAGAGTTCAGAGCGACAGTCCCCTCTAATGTGAGAGCAGCCTAGTCCTGACATTCCTGGGAGAAATCCCACTTGGTCACGGTGTTGAATCCTCCTAAAATGGACTCGGTTCCTTCGTATTTTGTTGAGGATTCCTTGATATTCATGAGGGACATTGGTCCAGTTTTCTTGTGGCGAGTTTAGGTGGCGTTGGTTTTAGCGGGCTTCATTCTCTGTATTTAGGAAGTGTTTGTGAAGAATTTTTGTTAATTCCTCTTGAATTGTTTGGTACAATTCATTAGTGATTTTTTTTTTTTTTAAAAAAGGGCTTATTCCATCATTTGTTTTTTGTGAGTCTTATCTCTTTTTCTTGGTAGTCCTGGTGTGGCACTGCAGGATAATGTACTGGACCAAAAGGTCGGCAGTTCAAACCCACCAGCTGCTCCTTGGAAATCCTAGACAAGGTCACTAAGAGACAGAACTGACCTGGCCACTGACTGACCATGCTAACAAAAACAACATGTCTTTTTTGTCCCTCATTTCTTTAAATTTCCTGCTTTTTTTGTGTGTGTTTAGTTGATATTTTTTAGTGAATCGACTTGAACTTCTCATTTCCTTTTCTGTTTCTCTCTCTATATATATATATTTGTTGTTAGGCGCCATTGAGTCAGTCCCGACTCATAGTGACCCTGTGCACAACAGAACAAAACACTGCCCAGTCCTGGGCCAACCTCACAATTGTTGCCACGCTTGAACCCATCCTTCACGCTGGGGGTCTTCCTCTTTTTCTCTAACCCTCCGCCTTACCAAACATGAAATCCTTCTCCAGTAACTGGTTCCTCTTGACAATATGTCCAAGAGATGAAGTCTGGCCATCCTGGCCTCCAAGGAGCACTCTGGCTGCACTTCTTCCAACGCAGATCTATTGGTTCTTTTGGCAGCCCATGGTACTTTCAATATTCTCCTCCAACACCATAACTCAAAAGCATCAATTCTTCTACAGTCTTCCTTATTCACTGTCCACCTTTCACATGCAAATTAGGTTATTGAAAATGCCATGGCTTGGGTCAGAGGCACCTTAGTCCTCAAGCTGACACCTCTGCTGTTCAACACTTTAAAGAGATCATGTACAGCAGACCACAAGGTTAGTGGTTCAAGTCCACCAGCTGGTCCATAGGAGAAAGATGAGGCTTTCTGTTCCCTAAGATTTAAAGCCTCGGAACCCCTATACTGGTTTGCTGTGAGTTGGAACAAAACTGATGACACGTAACAACAACAAATATATATATATATACAGTCCTGGTGTGGTGCTGTGGGTTAATGCTCTGAACCTCAAGCTTGGTTTGAATGGCTAAGTCGGCAGTTCAAGCTCACCAGCCGCTCCTCAGAAACCCTATACAGGGTCGTTATGAGTAGGAGAGTAGGAGCTGACTCGACGGCACTTAACAACAACATATATAAATGTAAATATATATAAATTTCTTTTGGGGACTTACATTTGCTAATCTACATTTATGAAAATTTAGTTTAAATGGTTACCAACTTAAATAAAATTCAGAAACTCTTCCTGGTGTCATAGATGAAAGTAATTCAGAAGATTTTGCTACAAAATCATAGATGCCTGTATTAAATAAAAATATCAAAATGTGAAACTATTGTTTCTCTACATATCTTCCATCTAGGTCTGCACCTGTCTGAGACGGTATTCCCATTTCCCTAACCCTTCCCAGAAGAATTCTGGGATCTTTGATTTACATGTCAAAACAGCAGTTCAGGCATCTTTTTGGGACTCAGATCATGTTCCTTTTAAAAGTTTTTTGAGATTTCCCGACAGCCCTGGCTACGCTCAGAGGATAAGCTGTTGCGATGGGAAATTTTTCCTCAGAACTACTTTTCTGGCTTTTTCTCACCAATGCCGTTTCAATGTCCTTGACACTTCTTTATAATAAGTCTCTGTGATCATCCTGTGTCCTTCAGGAATATCTGTCAAGATGGTCCCTTTGGAGTTTCCTCAAAACAGTCACCATAACCTCTGGGCTGACGTCTCTTCCTTGAACCCAGCAGATTCACTGTGCTGACTGGACCTTTTCTATGAAGGCACCCTAACGAGAGACAAATGTGTTACTCAGAGAACTTGTCTTCAGCATCCACTGATCACAAAGACATGCTTAAACACTTTTGGTTTGTATGAACTGGCACCTTCGTAGCAATACTTTTTGACTTACCCTCATATGCATGTAAAAGTTGAACAATGACTAAGGAAGATTGCAGAA